ACTTCCACCAGGGCATTCTAAAAAGCAGCTGAACCAGACAATGGCCCTCCCCACCACTGCCTCACTCTCATACTTCCCAGCCACCTGAGAGTGCTGGGGACGGCAGCAAGTCAGCAGCACTGGGATACCAGGGTTTATGATCTTAGGCTGCACCCTCTTCTCCTCAGGGGAGAAGTAACATCCTCTCTCCTTTTCAAGCCAAGTAAAGGGGCTATGCCAGTAGAATCATTTATGGAGACTGGACAGAGAGACTAGGCATTTGTTTCCTCAGGTGAATGCTGGCTTTGATACACAAATGTGCAGGACACCCCTCCCCTCACCCAAGGGTTGTCCCTCTCTGAGGAAGCTCCCAGGGAGTTTAGGAGTGTAACTAAACAGAGGACCCGGCATCTACTCTCATGGAGGTTTCTGTTGGAGTAACCCTTGCCAACAGGTAATTAGAGACCTGTGACCATGTACCTGGGAGAAGGGGTACATCTCCACTCACCTTCCCTTGGTCCACATACTCAGAGAAAGCACAGGAGGACTTCATTCATCCCAGTGACTCCATGTAAAAAGAATGGAGGCAAGAGCTATGGAAAACAGAGCCAACTGGCCAGTCTGAGCTCTTGAATGACTTTGTGGAGTAGACACAGCTACCTATCCTAGACCTCCTGACTATATTTGTCCTACATTTAAGAAAGAAAGAAACTTCTATCTTATTTAAGCCCTTGAGTTTGAGGTCTCCTTGTTCTGTACCTTAACCAACACAATTATAGAAAAGGACATCTGCCTTCCAACCCCTCATTCCTGGTCTCTACATCAGGTCCAGAAGAGACAGCGCACGAGCAGGGGAGGAACAGAGAAAGAGGGAGACACAGGATCCAAAGAAGGCTCCAGGCTCTGAACTGTCATCACAGAGCCCAACGTGGGGCTTGAACCCATAAACTGTGAGATCATGACACGAGCCGAAGTGGGACGCTTAACCGACAGAGCTTTCTTGTTGCCCCAAATTGCACTTTTAATACGTCGAAGGGCTAGAGAGATATGAAATCTGCTTGAGATATCACTAAGGGATGAGAAGAGGAGAACTTTAGAATTCAGTTAACTGAGTGGGGAAAAATAAAAACTACTTCATATTTATGCTTGGCTCTGTTTAGATTCCTTATAAACTTACCATAACTAAAAACCTCTAGAAAGTCCCTATGGCCTTAGAAATCCCTCCAGGTCTCTTTGTGATTTATTCTCATTCTTTTCTAATCAAATCACTCTCAAGAAATCTAGACAGAAACTGACTTCCTCCTTTCTCAGCATTGTTTTTTGTGTTTTCACTCTCATTAAAACCCAGACTCTAGCCCATGTATATTCCAGTCACCCACCATCTCTTTCCCATTCTCCCCCACCCATCCATTGCAATCTCTTTACCACTATCTCTCATTTGCACCTCGGGACTTCCCAAGCTGTTTCTTTCATATTTTTCCCTCTCTCCAAGATAGCATTTACTTATTCTACTGCCACACCCAGTTGAGTCTCCAAGCCACCAGAGACAGTTGTGTCTTCCCCAGGGTGGTGGGTTGAATAATGCCCCCTTCCAAAAAAAATTCCTGTGCACTTGAAACCTCAGAATGTGGCCTTGTTTTGAAACAGGGTCTTTGCAGATACAGTGAGAAGTTAAGACAAGATCATACTAGATTAAGAAGGGCCCTAAATCCAATGAGAGTATCCCTATAAGAGACGGAAAAGAAGACAGGAGAAGGCCATGCGAAGATAGAGGCAGGGACTGGGGTGATACATCCACGAGCCAAGCAATGGCCAGGATTGCCAGCAACCACCAGACACTGGGAGAAAGGCATGTGACATTTCTCCCTTAGAGCCTCCAGAAGGAAGTAAGCCTGCTGACACCTTGATTTTGGACTTCTGGCTTCTGAAATTGTGAGAGATCAACTTCTGGTGTTCTAAGCTTTGTGGTAATTGGTTATGGCAGCCGTGGAAACCTAACACATCCAGTAAGGCTGCCAGTTGGATGCTTTCTTTGCTCACGGCTCCCTTTCAATTCCAACTTTGTGCCCACTGTGCCTTCCCTTTGAAGGGCCATCCCCGCCACAGGCTGAGGGCCTTTATGCTGAACAAGGCTTGCCCAAAACCTCTGAAGCCAGAAGGACTCCCTAATCATCTTTGCCATGTCCCATTCCTTTGAACCTGTCACCTTATTGACGTGCTTAGTTTTTATTCTCATCATGGCATTAATAACTAAAAATATATTAAGGCAAACTTCTCAACTTGTGGCAGTAGATTTGGAGCATGGAAAGGCATCACACAAATATGAAGGAAGGGGACATTCTATTTGCATGGAGTTCTAAGATAAAAATGAGGATTTCAAAAGCATTTTATGCTTGTGGCCATTCAGAGCTATTCATAAATGTGTGATATAGTTTGTTGTTTGCTGTTTTGTTTTGTTTTATTGGTTTAGAAAACAGTCCAACAGAGGCAAAGGAAAATTTACAACTTGAGAGAGGTCCTGTGAAGGAGAATTAAGTGCTCTCTTGAAAGGCAGAGGAGGGCTAATGCCAATAAAAGATGACTCTAATAAAATTCCCTTAAAGCTTATTTCTTTACAACTATTAATTATGAAACTGGTTTATTATTAAATAAACTCAGTTATTATTGAATGAGCCAACTCCAGAAGGAAAGGACTTTATTTTTTTCTCTAACCACTGCCTTACAACCAGGTTTTGTGGAATCTTTCTCTATCAGGATCTATTCAGAATCTACCCTGAATCTTGGGCAGATGCCATAGATTTTATTGACAAGTCATATTATAATAATTGCACCTCTATCTCAGGCATTAAAATGTCCAGGACAGTCCAAGTATTATCATTCTCACACCTAATTTAAAATTTTGCTTGGCTCCATCTCAGGTCTTTCTTGCAGTGAATCAGGGAATAAGTGTGGTCAGTTTCTTTTTTCTTCCACCATCTTCTCTGCTTTCTTTATATTCTGGATGTGCCCAGACCACTTCAAGGGAAGAGTATTTTAGACAAAGAGGAGCAAATATCCCTGCATTTAACTATTGGGTAAGGCAGACAAGCCATCATGTCGGCTCTTATTATGGCAGAGTCCAACTGTTGTCTCTTTCACAGGATGTATCTGTTGGTTATTCAGAGGTCTCAGGTGGATACCCCATTGCACAGTTCCTTGATGCAGGGGGCATATTCTCTGGCTGATCGCTTGCAGCAATTCCCCCCATACATCTCTTCCGCCTAACCCCATGGCTTCTATTACTATAGTCCCTTTGCAAACAGGTTGCCCTGGTAGCTGAAGTCCCATCATGACAACTCAAGCCCACCTACCCTTCCCATAGTCAACATGGTCTACAAGAAATTCACAGACTTTGCCATGACAAAAAATGGAAGTCAGGTTGCAATCACTGCTTCTCTTCTCTCCTCATTTTCCCATTTTGGGCTATCCACATCAACCTCTCACCTACTGAATTCTCTAGGTGGGTAGCACTCATCCATTCATTTCAACAAAATTTATCAAGCACCTATATTTTCAAAACATTATTTACCAGTCTTTATGTGCACAATCCCCACCCCTGCCACAAAACTCCCAGGGACACTCATCAGGCTCTTCCAAGAGCTCTCACATCATGCACTGAATTTGTGTACTCTTGTTATTCTACAAGCTGCAGGCTGAGAGTGGGATGCCAGGATACTTTTATATTATGCTTAGAGACCCTCTCATTTACCTTTGGAAGAAATCCAAAGCAATTTCCCCATAGGTCTAGAACCTCTACTTAATGATATCTAACCACCCTTTTGAATCTATTCTGGAGATAGGTGGTATGTGTTGGTAGTTACAAGGCTCTTTCTGCTATTCTTTAATACATCCAGCCTGGCTATGTCTAGTATCTCCACTTAAAATGTGGTGGCATTTATTACCTTTTGTCAGCTTTGAGGCATTTGCTAAAACTAAGACAACCAGAAAACTCCTATTCAATAACCAGTTACAAATAAAGTTGTCTCGGAGTTTCCTTTGCAAACAAACAAATCCATGTCTTTGTCCTTAACAGCCTGTAACTAAAGGCTATACAGTTGACCCTTGAACAACATGGGGGTTAGGGGTGCTGACCCCCTGTGTAGTCACAAATCTGTGTATAACTTTTAACAACCCCAAAACTTAATTACCTCAATAACCTCAACTTACCTTAATAACTTCAAAATGGCCTCCTGTTGACCAGAAGCCTTACCGATAACATAAATAATTAACATACATTTTGGATGTTACATGTATTAAATACTGTATTCTCACAATAAAATATACTATAAAAAAGAAAACATTAAGAAAGTCACAAGGAAGAGAAAATATAATTATAGTACTGTACTGTAAAAAGTCCATTAAAAAAAAAAAGAACTACAAGCAGATCCATGTAGTTCAAACCCATGTTGTTCAAGGGGCAACTGTATTTTCCTTTATATATATAAATTATTATGTCATGAGTCCCCACTGGTTAATTGCATATTTGTGTGACAGCGTCATAAATTCAATAATTTCCTCTGATGTGAACAAAAATTCTTTATTTTCCATAAATGGTCTAATTTTTTCCCAAGCTCCAAAATTGAACAGGATGATAAAGCTCACCCAGAGTTCAATGAGGCTCCATAGGACACTCCAAGGGCCATTGGGTACACTTCTGAGTTTGACTTTCCTTGCTGCCATAAAGTCCCATAAACTCCTGCTCACACAGACTCTCTTTGGGAAAGGAGAAGGGAGAGGAAAGGTCCTTGAATGACCATTTACTTGTGTGTTTCCACTCAAAACTGAATGGTTGAACCAGAAGAGACTGAGCTACCTGTAATAGGCAAGTTTGAGCACCACCTCAGCCTCCAGCCTTGGTCCTCAACTTTGGTAAAACCTAGTTTTCATTTAGTCTTCCAGAATGTGTAGATATAATAGACGTATCATCTAGACAGAAACTTAAAATCATCATGTTCATCAGAATCCAAGTTAATGATGGTTTCTTAAACTGAATTTCCTGATTTTTTATAAGTTTCTGCATTATTGTTTTCAGCAATTAATGTCAACTTCATGTTAAAAGCAGCTCTAATATTAGCCCAAAAAAGTCCGTGTTTGCTCTTCTCCTTGGGCCATTCCAAGTAAGTCCGCTGTGTCATGAGAGCCTTCAGCTTGTGATACTTGCTGGGAATGCAGTTCTGTGGAATGGGTTCCAGCAAGATCAGGATTAAATTATTAGATCCTTCATGAAAGAGATTGTGATGAGCAAAGTAGAGTTCATAATGACACCATTCACTCTGAACAAAGTTGGGAGACAAAACAAAAATGGACTTGTAACTTTTCTCAATGCAGTTGATGATATTTTCCACAATGCTCTTGCCAGGAACAAAGTTTCTCTCATGGAGACAAATCCTTA